GGTTTAGGGTAAACCCTAACCCCTTAACATCTCGAGTTTCAGGGTTTAGGGTTCGGGTGAGGCTGGGCTATATGACTATGAGAGGGCCTCTACACGTGCTCGACAAGTTTGTGTTTTCAATTGTTTGATTTGTTAGCTGAATTTCTATGAGCTTTAAGGATCTCTTCCTAGGGGTTTGTGGCTTTGATTTCAGTCAAGTAGGCCTTTGGGTTTGGGCCTTGGGAGTTTGGGGTTTGAGTTGCGCCGGGTTTTGTTTTCGGGCTTTCGGCTCCGGTGTTCAAACCCTAATCTCGGCGTTTGGAGTTGGGGGTTTTAAGGGCAAAAAGCTTGGGTGTTTTTAGAGCTTAAGGTTGAGCGTTCAATGCCCTAACCCCTAAACCCTAAACCCTAAAGATCAGGACTACGCGCGTGCTGCAAGGATTTGAATGTCTCGGGCGTGCAGTCCGACAGTTGTGGTTTAGTTCTCTAAAATAGGGTTTAGGGTTTAGGGTTTAGGGTTTCTAAGATAGGGTTTGGCTTTAGGTCCCAAGAAGAGTACCCTAAACCCTAAACCCTAAACCCTGAAAGCGAGGACCCGAAAAGGGGACCCTAATTTAGGGAACTATGGTCGTGGAGTTGACTACAGTTGTTGACCTTCGAGGCTTGCTTCATGAACAGGGTGGCGCTTCATGTGCCAAGGCTTGGATTTCAACTACGGCTCACAGGCCATGTCCAATCGGTACAACCCTTCATAGCCTCAGCGGGCTCCGGTATTGGTTTTTCTAACATGCCATCTCCGAAGCCCTTGAACACACCAACCCGAAATCACACCTCTAAACCATACTACGGTTGATGATACAAACCCTGCATTACCCATAATAAGGAATAGACCATAATTCCCATAGTTTAGGGTCCTTAAGGTAATGCAGGATTTCTACTATCAACAGTGTTTAAGCAGCCCTGAGGCGGTTGCGCTGCCCCCCAAGAATGGCTTGCCTTTCGAGGAGGTGAACCTGGGAGCAGCAGCAGTACTTAGAGGGTCGGGGCACTAGGGTTTAGAATTTAGGGTTTAGGGTTTAGGGTTTAGGGTAAGTAGTTATTCTGAAGACTTATCAGTGTCATAACCCCAATTAGGATTCCTCTCAGGGTAAGTAGAACTCTACTTAACATCTGCTTACTAAGTCTCCCCATCTTCCAAGTACGTAGTAGCAGGGGTGTGGTGGAGTAGAAGCAACATCATTGGATGTGTCATGATACTGTTGATGATAAAACATGCTGCATTATCTTAAGGACCCTAAAACATGGGAGTTATGGTATATTGTTTATTACGGAAAATGCAGGATTTACAAAATCATCAACCGTAAGGGTATGATGCTGCCGGATCATGGTGGTGCTTGTGACAGTGATAGTTGTGGTCATAGTGACGGTGTTATGAACGATCGTGATCGTGAGGTCGACTATGATGCTTGTGACACTTTGGCCACAACAGTGACGATGTTCACAACTAGCAATAGTAAGCAAGATGCCCTTCTGATTGAACCATTCTGAAGAACCCCTAGCGTACACTTTGCAGGCTTCTCAGATTCAACATACATGAAGAGCTAGAGTAGGGTTTCGGGGTATCTTCTTCACAAAATCATTCTTCAGCCCCTATATAGGTCTTCCAGGTTCTGCGGGTTTAGAGTTGAGGGCCTTCTTAAGAGAAGTGATATCATTAACACCCTTTGACATGCTTTCAAAGCCGTTCTTAAATACCCTTCAAAACTTAAGTGCCTGAAAAGCACCATCATGCTAACCCGAAAGCCTGAAGCTTAAACCTCAAGCCCTGCAAACCTTAAGATTTTCAATCAGAGTTCAAAGAGTCCAAAGAGCTTCAGCAGCTGACACAGGAGGCGCTCGCCGCAGCTTTTCAGGAGCCGATATGTTCAGTCCGACGAACCGTCTGCTTTTTGTTCGTGGTTTAGGGTGCAAGCTTAGGGCTTTCTGGTTCAGCGCTTGAGCGTATGATCTTTTAGAGGTTCTGGGTTTAGGTTTTCAGGGTGTCTGTGTTTTGGTCTTGGGACTTAGGCCCTAAACCCTAAACCCTAAACCCTACACCCTAAACCCTAAACCCCAAACCCTAAACGCGTTTGGGGTTTAGGCGTTTGTTTGTTTTGACCGTTTTGGCCGTACTGATTTCGATGCTGGGGTTGGTGGCTGAGGGCTTTGGGTTTAGGGTTTAGGGTTTGGGTTTAGGGTTTAGGGTTTAGGGTTTAGGGGGGTTTAGGGTTTAGGGTTTAGGGTTTGGGATTCAGGGTTTCGAGTTTAGGGTTACGGTTACTGTTGTTCCTGTTTCTGTTGCTGAATCGTCAGTATTCGTATCAATGTCAATATCATGTTCGTCTATGCCATCAATTTCCGTCATCAAAAGCAATGGGTCCCTAAACCCTAAACCCTAAACCCAAACCCTAAACCCTAAACCCTAAACCCCAAACCCTAAACCCCAAACCCTAAACCAGTATGGCCACCATGACGACTACGTCAGGTCCTGCTCTCCTTGTCAATCTTGTTCTCCTTGTTTTCATGTTTCGGGTTTAGGGTTTAGGGTTTAGGATGAGTACTACAGCATTAATCACCATTCCAGCTAGCCTTTTTGCTGACCCAAAAACCCAAAAACCATGGTGCTGCCCTTCATGCCTGCTCTACAGCCTTCATCCTAAACCCCAAACCCTAAGTCATAAGCCCCGCCAAGAAGCTCGTACCTAGAGAGCCCGATACCCCTTAATTTCGGAATATACCTTAACTCATATTATGAAGCCCTTTGATGTGAGGTATATCTTAACAGAAAAGTACACTGTGGAGGCCTGCGTTTTGTGGGTTATGTAACAGATGTAATTTAAGTCTTGCGTGATTTCCAGGTTAACGTCCTTCATGTGTTGCGTGCTGTTATGCTTGCATTCTAATAAAGACATATAACAGGGATGCGGCAGATTTCTCACATAGACCTGTGAAGCTAGAAGGGGGGGCGGCAAAGAAAAACAAAATGCCACCCCCCCTACTCTGCCTTGATGTGTCTGTGGATGCAGTTTTCTATCTCCATTTTCGCACATCTCTGCCTAACTTCCCTGTCTTAGTTGTATACGCCTCCCTCCTTGACCTCCATCCTTTTCCCGGTATATCTGCATAAAACTTCTAATCCCTTTCCAGAGCATTTACCACTATAGTGTAATCTGCTCAAACATCTGTGTATCGGCCTCAGCATCGCAGCGAGCGCAGACGAGGGGCGCTGGCAGCAAGTACGATGCATAATATAATGAAGAGTATATGCACAGTTATGTCTATGCAATCTTTGTATTTATAAATGTATCATCAGTACAGTCTGATTTTGTTACAATGCGGATCTCCTGCAATTCACTTGCACGTAGTCCTTGTAACTCGCTTGTTTACGGAAGCTCATTTTTGTATCAACGACTTCATTCAGCGTGGCTGTTAGTGCTATGGCACGACAAAAGTGTCCTGGGTGCGGAAAATGGGGTACCGAGCGCTGTGTATGTGCCGAGAGAAGCAAGACGATCGCGACTAGAAGTTCAACGACGACCAAGAAAACTGTTTGATCTACGTCATGGAAAAGTTGCTTCCAACTGTTGCATTGCAGGATTACCTGCACAACTTGGAGCACAAAGCCGCTATCTTCTTCGTTTGAGTCACGCAAGTTCTGCAGAACAACTTGCTATGATGTTATGTGACATTGATGAGATCCGTGACGAGTCCAACGAGATTTGCTTCTGTCACCAAGCTCTGTCTAGTGGAGAGGGCCACTGGTACCCAGAGAGCCCAGGGTTTCTGCTTTCAGGCTTGTTACTCACGTCTGTTGAGTCACTTAAGGGGTCAAGGGACGTGGTAAGCAGGGTTATATTTGGGGTTGTAAGCGCTCTAAGTAGGGTTATCCTTATTAGAACCGTAGTGATAACCCTACTTACTAAATCCCATGAGCCTTGAAGTACCCCCAAACCCTAAACGAAGCTCCGAAACGTTCTTCCCCCGGACCCTAAACCCCAAACCCTCAACGAAACCCGAAACCCCAACCCCCCTCCCCATCCTGAATCCGAAAGCCCCAACGCTTCAACTCCAAAGCTGGAGGCGTAAACCCTAAACCCTAAACCCTAAACCCTAAACCCTAGATTCCAGTGCCTGAGGAGATCAGGAGCGATCCTTCCGCAAGCTATGTCGGCCTGGAGGCGAGTTTAGGGTTGAGGGTTTGGGTTTAAGGTTTGAGTTTAGGGTTTAGGTTTAGGGTTGGCAGCTGTAGAGTCCATGATGGCCTAGTAATGGCCAGTAAATCTAGGGATTTTGTTGTGTTAGGCTTTGCGAATTAATGTGTAGAGGACTTACTAAATGCGTTATCACTGAGGCTGTAAGGAGGATACTGTTGGGATGTAGGGCTTTTCGCACCAAATTTCCTAAACCTTAAGCCCTCAAAAGTTTTGAGACAAAGCCGAGCGCCCTTGAACTGCCATGGAGCACTTCCAAACCATCCCCCGAAGCCAACCCAAACCCCACACCCCAGAACTCCAAGCAAGAATCTCTAAAGCATAAACCCTGCACTCTGAATCCTACAAGTCTATAAGAGCCCTAAACCCTAAACCCTAAACCCTAAACCCTGCACCCCGAATCCCACAAGCTTCGGAGGATGTGCCGCTTGCCAAACCTTTCGATCCGCACATCGTGCTCTTCCGTGACAGGGACCAGTCCTCGGGCGAATGTGTAGGGTTTGGGCGTTAGGGGTAGGGCCTCTTATTCATTGAAAATAGTGTGTGTATATGTATATATAGGTATATATATATATATATAGATAGATAGACCGTGATGTATATGCAGGTGTGTAAATGTAAACATAGGTAAATACACAAAAGTGTAAGGCACACTGCGCTGAATCATATCATGGTTTGGGGGTTTTCCCTCCTTGCATCATGCAGGAGCCGTTCCTAGGTAACCTAGGAGGTAGTTGTATAGATAGTATCCACACAGGCTTGCACAGCTTTCCGGCGATCGTGGCTGTACCGACAACCCTACCGACCCTAAACCCTGTACCCTAAGCCCTCAATGTACCCTAAGCCCTCAACCCTAAACCCTAAAAACTACCAACCCTAAACCCTGAACCCTAAGCTCTACTTGGAATCGGAAGCTACCAAAGCTGACGGTCGGTGGCTTTACGCGATTGGTTACTACCCAGACACAATCCGTGCAAAAATAGGCGTCCGCCCAAGACCTCTTAATTAAGGAATATGCCTTAAATCATAAGGGGCTTAATATTTGGATGTAAGGTAGATTCCTTAAGTAAGGGTCTTAAACCTTATCAAAAACCTATAATCTCCCTAAAGGAGCCCTTCAGGGAACCCTCACTAACGAACTACCCATTTAGGCCCCTATATTAGGGTTTACTTGGAGGGTCGGGGGACCTAGTAACTAGTTATTTTACAGACTTACAAGTACCATAACCCAAAGTAGGAGCCCTTTTAGGGTACTTACAACTCTACTTCATATCTACTTACTAAGTCCCCCGACCCTCCAAGTAGACCCTAAACCCTGCACCCTGAACCCGTAAACCCTCGAGTCATAAACCCCCTGAGCGCTAAGAGCAGTTCTCTAAATTAGGCTCCCTCCAACCCTCCAGCCCTAAACCCTAAACCCTAAACCTTAAACCCTAAACCCTAAACACTTAAACCCCAAACCCTAAACCCTAATCCAGTAGGGTGTAGGGTGCTTCGAGGCTAGGGGCATAGAAGCGCAAGCCGGAGTTCCCAGGCGTGGGCCAAGCTCGCCACATGGATACAGGAGATGCCGCTCGGCTGAGGTTTAGGGTCTAGGGGTGTAGGGGTTCAGGGTTTAGGGTTTAGGGGTTTAGGGGTTTAGGGTTTTTCCGATACCCTGAAACCCTAGAAATCCAAAACCTTGTAGTAGTACGAATTTGTAGTTAACGAGTAGACCATGAATTGTAGGGGGATCCTCAAGACGAGCGTTGTGGCTTGTTTCGGTCGTGCTCTTCAACAGGCACTCTGGGATTTTGGAGATGTTAAGGGTTTACGGCTGTGCAAGGTGCAGGGGGTTTAGGGTTTAGG